ATCTCTTGGACAATAAATGGTATCGACCACTTTGATTTGCACTTCCTTGGGAATAACCACAGCCGTGATTTGCACAATAACACCAATTGTCCTTTTTGCAATTTCCTTTTGAATTTCTCCTTACGACCACAATAGCTTGACTCATCCTTCTCTCGTGACTTGCTCGAGTCTTTGGGTGGCAACATCTTCCTTGCACTCTCATCGCCGTTAAGACTCAAACTCGTATGGCTTTCTCTCGGAGGAGTTGAAATTGAGTCCATGAAGTAAACTTGCTCCTTCCGATTTTCGTTTATGCCATCATCTCCTGCACTCAAAGATGTTTTCCCATTGTCCAAGATCAAAACATCAAACTTTTCATTATTTTTAAAATCCATAAGCTCAATACCAAAACAATCATTATTATCACATGGATTTTTATTAGCACTAAAAATATTGAATTTGATTGTTTGATCATGCACTGTCATTGTAAGATCGCCACTAGCGCAATCAATAAGCGTTTTCGACGTGGCTAAAAACGGCCTCCCTACGATAAGAGGTGTCTCCCTATCCTCATCTATATCAAGTATAACGAAATCTACCGGGAAGATAAATTTACTAACCTTCACTAACACATTCTCTAAACTACCTTTTGGGTAAACTAAAGATCTATCGGCTAATTGAAGAGTTATAGCCGTCGGTTCAATTTCTCCTAACCCAAGATTTTTAAAAGTAGAATAAGGCATAAGATTAATGCTCGCGCCTAAATCAATGAGCGATCTAAATTTTTTACCTCCTATAGTACAAGGAATAGTAAACTTACCTGGATCGCCGAGTTTTTGTGGAAGAGGCCGAGTAAGAATTGCACTAATTTGCTCCGTGAGTTGGATCATCTTGTTCCCTTGCAATTTCTTACTTTTCTTCACGAGGTCCTTGAGGAACTTCACCCACTTTGGCATCTTTTGAAGTGCTTCAATGAAAGGAATATTTATGCGAATTTCCTTCAACTTGTCCAAAAATCTTTGATTCGGCGTCGAGCTTCTTCTTTATAAACTTTTGAGGATACGGAATTGGAGGGACTTGTGAAGGCACCGTTGATGGTGGCTCTTCATGAGTTGATTATTTTTCCTCATTCACTTTCGGCTTCTCGATTACCGTGTTTCTCTTCTCTTTTCGTGGGGCTTCCTCCAATTGCTTCCCGTTCTTCAAGGTGACTGCTTGGCACGTCTCGACCTCGATCTTTTTCGTTAGCAATCGTTGTGGATATGGGATTGGTTCCACCCATTCAGCTACAGTGACTTGCGGCTTTATTTGAATTTCTTCCCTTTTTTCGATCTTGACATCGATAGCTTGGCACGTCTCGAACTTTTGCTTTCGAGGATCTTCCGTATTCGATGGCAACGCTCCAGCTAGACGGTTCTCTTGATTCAAAGCAAATTTAGCGAATTGATTCTCCAAATTCCGCAGCGAGGACTGGGTAGAGGTCATGAATTGGGCCAATATCTCCTCCGTGTTTGATTTTTGGGCCGGTGGATTGTTGCCTTGATAGATTTGTTGAGGAGGGGCTTGATTTTGAAATTGACCTTGAGTTCTTTGATACCCTTGGCCTTGTTGATTTCCTCCATATTGCCCTTGTGATCTCCACCCTTGATTTTGGAATTGGCAAGGCGCGTTATTGACGTAGTTGAGCGATTCCACATCTTGTTGGCATTGGAGCGTGTAGTGATTTCCACCGCAAATTTCACAACATGGAGAATCAATTGCTTGGACTTGTTGTGGTGGACTTGCTTTGATGTTCTGTAGAAGGAGTTGATTTTGTTGAGAAATTTGGGTCACTTGAGCTTGAAGGGCAGTAATTGCATCTAACTCCAACACTCCGGGAATTTTCTTGGCTCCACTGACCGTCCTCTCGCTTGACTTGGCAAACCGATTTTGTGCAATTTGATCCAACATGATAAATGCATCCGGTATCGATTGACTCATGAATTTCCCACGGTTGATGCATCTAAGACGGTTCGTGCATTCTCGTTAATCCCTTGGTAGAAGATGTGGATTTGCCACCATTGTTCGACTCCATGTGTTGGACACTGCCGCAAAAGAGTTTTAAATCTCTCCTATGCCTCGTATAATTGCTCGCCTTGCTCTTGGACAAAATTATGAATTTCTCGTCGGATTCTCTCGTCCTTCTCAGGTGAGCTATAAACTTTCATGAAAAGGTTGAGGAGTTGAGGCCACGACGAGATAGAGTAGGGGGCTTGGGACATCAACCACTGGCGGGCTCTTCCTTGTAAGGAGTGCTTGAAGAGAATTAATTGAAGCGCCTCTTGGGAAACGCCGTTTTGACGGTGAGAATTACAGGTATCTAGAAAATTAACAATGTGAAGATGGGGATCTTCACCCGCCAGTCCACTAAATAGCCAGTTATTTTGGAGCATCGTCAAGAGGCCTTGCTTGATCTCAAAATTGTGCGCCTCAATAGGTGGATATTGGTGTTCGGGCGGAATCCGTCGAGAGTAGGGATTATGTAGTCTTGAAGTGCCCGTGGCCGAACTGCTGGCTGTAACTAAGTTGAGGGGGTGGGTCTTCGATGCGAATTCCATTCGCATCGAGTAAGCGACCCTCTGCGTCTCTGCGTTCTTCGTCTGCCATTATATTGTTTGCACGTTGACGTCTCCTAGTGGCTCGAAAAGTACGTTCGATTTCGGGATCAAACGGTTCTCGAGCAAGATCGAGTCTCCTGCGCGTACACAGTACCTAAAAAGAAAAATAAAATAAAACAAAAATTAAATGGGTGAATCGTGAAAATTGTTCAAATCTAGAGCTAGAATAAAATAAACAATTAAAATAATTCCCCGGCAACGGCGCCAAAAACTTGTTGGTTGGAAATACCTACACGCAAGTGCACGTATCGTACAAGTAATATAGTGGACAATTAAGTCCGGATATCGAACCCACATGAAATATTTAATTACTTAATCCTATACGCTAACTTCTAGCAATTATTATCAAGTTCACCCTACACAGTCGACTTTAGAGAGAAAATTAACTAAATTAAACTAAACTAAATTAAAGCAAATTAAAACGACAAAGCAAGAAAGCAAATTAAACACGAAGATTTATCAGAGTAAACAAGCCTAGGATTTTATTCTTCCCCCTATGTGATTATGATTCCCCCAATTCCTTCAATTATGTAAGCAATTAACCCGGATTATTAACCTGAGATGCTAAAATAATCATAACCCGCTTCCGCGTGTATTACGATTCTAATACTCTAGATTCAATTACTATATTCTATGCAATTAATTCTAGAACACAGCAATAAGCACAAATCTCAATATTGGCTACCGAAGAGATTAGCTATATATATTCATCTGTTAATACGACAAAGGCTCTTCTACCATACTTCTAATTACTAACTCGATCTTGCGATTCATGCGATTAACAATAACATAAAAGCACATAAGGTGATCAAATTCATGCACTTAATAAAACAAGTAGGAGAAATAATCCGGAATTAAAACTTGCATTAAATCATAGAATTGGGTTCATAAATCCCACATAGTGTTCCAAATAAAATCCTAGAAATAAGAAAATTAGCTACTCATGATTAAAGGAAAAACACAAATAAAATAAGTCATAAATGATAAATCTATGCTTAGAGTCTTCGAGTTCTTCGTCTTTGTTATTTCTTGTTGCTCTCGAAATTGCGTAAAAAAAATCCCCAATTGTGTGCTTGGCTTGGTCTTATATAGGGTGAAAAACTTGGGGAAGAAGACAGTTTCCTTGTGCAATTAAAATCCCTTTACTGCGTTGCCTCGGGGTTTCGGACGGCCATCCCTCAATTTGAACTAAAACTCGGACGGCCGTCCGAGCTTTAAATCTTCAGAATTTTGTTTTTTTCACTTTTGGCCCATATTTTCTCCAAAATTGCAGTTTTGACCCCATACTTTTCCAATTCTTCAATTTGTACATAAAATACAATAAATCAACTTTTTAAGCACCAATTATCGTTAAAACACACCAAAAGCTCAAATAGAAAGGTACGATAAAGTGTAAAAATATACACTTAACAACACGCACAATTTTTTTTAACGGAAAAACTAACGGAAGCTACCCCTATCAACCATAAGAGGGTTATGTGCTGATATTACGAGAGTAAGGGGTCCTTTGCAAAAGTTTGTAACCACAGGGGGTCAAATGCTATTTACCCTTTTTTTAAACAACAAATATTGTTTTGCCTTATTTCTGAGCAATACGAGGTTCACGTGGTCAATAAGATGCCATTACCCACAATGAAATCGCATTGCACATCTAAGATAATGATTTAAGAACTTACTACTTTGATCCAAATTATGATTTTAATTGGAAATTTTGTGAGAATAATACTGGAAATACTTTCTACTTTTGTCATCTTTCGTGGTGTAATGTGGAAGTATCTTTTGATGCATTTACATCCCATTTGAAGGACGACCCTTGTACTGACAGTATATGTTATTTCGAAGCAAGGAGAGATGGTATTTATTTCTCTGGTGGGGATCTTCCAAGAGCAATGAACAAGATGTATGACGGGAAAAATCATACTGGACAGTCTGGACAATTTTATTAGCAAAACTACTCCCCTAAAATCGCACAATTTAGAGATTGTGCTAAAAAAAACATCATAGGCCATTTTCGGTAAACTAAAGGAGTAATATAATTTGCTTTTGTAGGCCCTCAAGGAGACAATATGGCTCTGAAAGATTTTGTTTTTGGACAAAATGCACTACACCCCCTATAAATTTATCATTTTGGCACTTTGCCCCCTAAAATTTAAAAAAAAAAAAAAAAAAGAATACTCCCCCTTCGAATATTATTTTGGTCGTGCTTTGTCCCATAACCCAATTTTTGGAGGGCATTGTGCGACAAAAATAACATTTTTAATGGACAACATGCAAAAAAGTAGTGTTGTTAAGGGGAAACGTGCAACAAAAATACTCAATTTCAATGAATAATCCATCAAGGTTTTGCTATCGTGACATTCAATTTTAAAAATTTTGATGGGGTAAAGTGCGAAAATTAGAAATTTGCAGGTGGTGATATGCAATTTGCCCTTTGTTTTTTTAACTTTGAGGGGGAAAGTGCGGAAATTAGAAAATTATTGGGAAGAAATGCAATTTGCCCTTAAAATAACATTAAAAAACAAAAAACAAAAAAAAAACAAAAAAAAATAAATAAATAAATTCGGTAGTCTACGAGCCTTCTTCTTCTGTAGGTACCAGTTCATTCTTCACTGAAATTATCTTCATAAAAAAGATGAGAGGAACCGAAATACTGATTCGTAGAGCATTATTTGCTAAATCTTCCCACCATTACGCTATTTTTACTTATCCCTTTTCTTTCTTCTGTTCAAATTTTCACAAAGATCGATCCTTTTCACCTAAACCCAGAATAGATTTGAGTTGTATAAATGAATTAGATGATGCTGTTTTCTTGTTTCGTCAAATGGTTAGAATGCAGCCACAGCCTTCCGTTTTTAAATTCACCAAACTACTGCAAGTTATTTTCAAGATGAAGCAATATTCGGTTGCCCTTAAACTGTTCGACGAAATGCGTCAATCGGCTGCCCCTATGAACGAGTACACGATGAACATCTTGATTAATTGCTGTTGCCTTTTGAAACGCGTAGACGTTGGTTTTGCTGTGTTCGGCATCTTCTTTAAACAGGGCTACAACGCAAATGTTGTGACATTCACCACTCTACTAAAAGGTCTCTTTCTAGATGGTAAGGTGGCCGATGCGGAAAAATTGTTTAAGCAGCTTTTGATTTTGAGACTTTGTGAGCCCAATGATTTTACAATTGTTACTGTGATAAACGGGCTCTGCAAAAATGGACATGTTCTTGCTGCCCATGATTTGCTCTTGTTATTGGAAAATACTATTTATAAACCCAATGTTATGGCTTATAGCGCTGTGATTGATGGCTTATGTAAAGTCGGAATGGTGGATAATGCACTCGAGCTGAAGTCTAGAATGTTTGATAAGGGCATTTCACCTGACGTTGTCACATATAACTCGATGATTCAGGGCTTGTGCGATTTTGGTAGATGGAAAGAGGTGAAACACTTGTTAGATGAAATGGTCAACCACAAGATTTGTTTAACTGTTGTTACTTTCAATATATTAGTGGACTCATTTTGCAAGGAAGGAAATGTTAAAGAGGCTGAGGATGTTTTGGAAATTATGAAGCAACAAAATATTCATCCCGATATTGTCACCTACACTGCACTGATAGATGGATATTGTTTGCAAGGGAAAATGGATAAAGCGAAAGAAGTATTTGATTCTCTAACGGGCAACGGCCTTAAGCCATGTATTATGAGCTACGGCACTTTAATCAACGGATACTGCAAGAAGGGTAAAGTGGATGAAGCTTGGCGTCTTTTTCTCGAAGTTTCTTCTAAAGGCTTAGAGCACACAATAACTACCTATAACATCATGATACATGGACTTCTTAGTGAAGGTCGAATTAATGATGGATGGAAACTTTTCAATGATATGGAAACTCGGAAAGTGCATCCTAATTTAAGTACTTACAATATTTTGTTGGAATGCTTGTGCAAGACTCATCAGATTTCTGAAGCATTTTCATTTCTACGGACGATGGAAGATAAAGGAGCAAGTCCCGATATAATCACTTATCGTATCCTGATTAACGGTTTGTGCAGGGATGGGAAACTTGAAGATGCAAAACATCTTTTAAACGAATTTCCGTCTAAAGGTTTGCAACCTGATTGTCAAGCGTATACCATTGTTGTTGGTTCACTTTGTCATGAAGGATTTGTAGACGAGGCAAAAAATTTGCTTGTGAAAATGGAGAGAAGTGGTTGTGCACCGGATAGCGTGACATACAACAGCATAATCCAGGGTTTGCTAAAGAGGAAAGAGGTTTGCAAGGCAATGCCATTCTTAGAGGAAATGTACAAAAGGGGATTCTCGGCGGACGCAACTACTTCGTCCATGTTAATTAATCACCTGCTGCAAATATATAACAAAGGTATTGTTCTTCTAGAAATGATTAAGAAAGTTGTACCAAAAATATAAATTATTTATTTGAGCTTTTGTCTGTAATAAAACAAAGTTTTGCTATGTCTATAATGACTAGGTATAGTTGCCTGTTGGTCTTTCTTTCATGACTTGGTACTATTTTTGCGATGTGTTTCCGATTAAAGCGTGTAAATAAACGTGTATATCATGTTGGCGTAGTGAATATCCTTTCAAATTAAATGCACATCCCATCTTTTCCGCCCTTTAATTCTCCTACAACTTAAATGATTTGGGCTGAGAACCTTATATTTAGATTTGAGAAAATTACAGTTTTCATCCCTCAAGTTTGCACTGGTTTTACATTTGGACATCATGTTTAAAAAAACACATTCGGTCCTCATGTTTCAACAATTTGACACTTTTTGTCTTTTTCTTCAATTTACCGTTAGTGTTTCTTTTAAGAGAGTGATTAACGCATGCCTGATTCCGTTAGTACTAACGGAAAATTAACAGAAATGATCAAAAGTGTTAAATAATTGAAATATGAGGGACTAAACTTGGGAACCAAATGCGAAGTCAAGGTAAACTTGAGGGACAAAATGTGTAATGTTCCCTTTTAGATATCTTTGGTTAATCACGGAGAACCCTCAAATCACATTTGCACATAATACCAAGTTACCAAGTCATTTGATATTTGCCTTTTACCAATATCTGTTGAATGACCATCTCAACCAAAAGCTTAAGCTCTTGGTTGAGATGGTCATTCAACATGGTATTTCACTAACAGCATGCGGGCGAATTACATTTGAAGCCTTGCACTTGAAATATTTTTAAATGGGTGGCGGTGGGATTCGAACTTAGGACCTTTTCACTTGGCCTGACTCTGATACCATGTTGAATGACCATCTCAACCAAAAGCTTAAGCTTTAAATTAAGGGTCTATTAGACATAACCCCCTTAAACATTCAAATAATAGGGGTAGACCCAAACTTAACATTGCGATTTTGATAAAAACCCAAACGTTTGTAAATTACATAATTACCCTCAATCAAATCCCACAAATCCCGTTAGTTTACCTTTTGAAATAATATCAAATATCTCCCTATTTTCCCGTTAAAACGTTATCACCACAAACCGACTATGAAAAAAGCTGCAAAACCTCCCGACCGGCGAAATTTGCACTGCCGTGAAACGATGATTTTCGTGGACTCCGAGCAAGCCGCCGTAGGTACGTATTCGCCGGTCGCTATCGTCCATCGATTTGTTGATATGTTTTGGCTAAATCGACTATCACGTTTGTGTAATTGCAGATATGTTATAATCGCATACCGAAGTGATAGCGTCGTTGGCCGCCGTCGCCGTCTATCGTCCATCGATTTGTTGATATGTTTTGGCTAAATCGACTATCACGTTTGTGTAATTGCAGATATGTTATAATCGCATACCGAAGTGATAGCGTCGTTGGCCGCCGTCGCCGTCGCCGTCACTGCTCCAATCTAGGGTTTCTGAAATGTAGGATTACTGAAATCTAGGGTTTTGATGATTCTTCGGCCCATAGTTGATTAACGAGATGCATAGTCGAATTACATCTGTATTAATATACTATCCCATATCACTTAATACACTATACAACAGATATAATTTTGCTATGGGTATCGTTAATCGTCTATGGGCCGAAGAATCATCAAAACCCTAGATTTGAGCGGTGACGGCGTCGGATTTGTGTTTTAAATATAATAGAATATCTCATATCTTTTACTAGACTATCCCATGTATCTAATTCGACTATGGGTTTAATTAATTGACTATTGGAAAAATAATAATATATATGGAAACTGAATAATATGTTTGATTGAAATACTAATCAATTAGGGTAATTTTCCTTATTATATGAAAACGATTAGGTTAAGTAATAATATATATGAAAAATAATAATATATATGGAAACTGAATAATATGTTTGTTTGAAATACTAACCAATTAGGGTAATTTTCCTTATATCATGTAATAGACTGTGTTATTGAGCTAATTCGACTATGGATCTCGTTAATCGACTATGTAACCCGTATTATTCATCCACCTAGTATATTAATAATTACAGTATAGTACATTAATCTGATATGATAGTATATTACGGTTATAATAGTGACATGAAATTGTGTTACAAACAATATAGCACTGAAATGACAAGAACATTGAGAACAACACAAACGTAAAGTATTCCAACATAACCAATAAAATAGTACATTAATAATCTCATAATTTCAAAAGAGAAGCGACAAGCCCTTTTTGTCTTCTTCAACATGTTTGGTATATTTTTTTTTATAGTGATCTATCTCATCAAATTTAAATTTAGAGGTCTCATCGACCTCCATGTTCGTGCTATCTGTGATATCTGCACCAAGTCGGCCTAGATTGGCCAAAGCGTCTGCTGTTTGATTTTTCGCCCTTACGACGTGGAGAATACTAGTAATATTGAACTTTGTCATATCAGTTCGCACAGAGCGTAATATCTGTTGAGCATCCGCATCCTTGTACCCACTCCCATTGTTGATTACATAAGCCAAGTTTTTGGAATCTGTCTCAAAAATTAATTTCTCTCTGTCTTCTTTCTTCGGAAAAAGTTTTAAGCACCACACCAAACTATTCGAAAAGGCCTGTAGCTCTCCTACATTGGTTTTGCCCGATGTGTTTTTCCAAACTTGTTTATGAAGCACCTCCCCGAGGTGGTTTCTGATTACGGCACCACTGCCCTCACCCGTAAGAATTGAATTTTTTACGATACGGCCCTGACTTGTAGACTTTGATTTATCCTTAATCTCCACAAACTTGGCTGAATAATCCATCGATATTTTGAGTTTTCCCATCGGTGGGGCTTCCCACTTGAGACCCAATAGCAAGAATAAAAACATAAAAATTTTAATCAATTTTTATTCAAAATAAAAATGAATAAACAAATCAAAACCTGAGCTGATGAAATGTGGTGGGGATGAATACAGAAAAAGAGAACCTTGGGGGCGGGCTCGGAAGGATGGAGCGGAGGGTTGCCGGAGGAGATCGGAGCTTCGGGGGAGATCTTGGCGGAGTAATGACGGATGTAGGGAGACGAGATTCCAAACATTCTCCGAAGGGCTAACATTGTCATCGGGATGGAGTGAACGCCGATTGAGGCAGAGTTGTCGCGAGAAGAGAGGAGGGTTTTAGGGGGTTCGGGTTTTTATGTTGTGGGAATAGGGTTTTTCTTAATAGACTATCACATATCATTTAATATACTAGCACACTAGTATATTTTTACTATGGATCTCGTTAATCGACTATGGGCCTAAGAATGAACAAAACCCTAGATTTGAGAAGTGACGGCGGCGGATGGGTCCTTTAAAATTAATAGACTATCCCATATGTTTTAATATACTATCCCATGTATCTAATGCGACTATGGGTTTAGTTGATTGACTATTGGAAAAACCATAATAAATATGGAAACTGAATTAAACAAGACTACGAACGATTTTTAATGTACTACCCAGCACACTTAAATCGGCTGTTATAAACAAATAAAGCAACTATCGATTGGGATGAAAAACTCACTCGACCACAGCGGACAATTATTCCGATTATTGCATAAACCAACTACGAAGCTCATATAAAACAACTCTGGTCCGATCTGCGTGAACCATCCTCTTCTAACTCTGTCAATCCTCTTCCAAACAAACATCATCCGGCGAAAATAACGATGTATGTGTAATCAAGTATCAACACAACTCTTAAAAACTTCTGACCACCGTAGACATTAAAAAGCGATTAAAACGATGGAACGCTGGATAAATCTTCAAAAAAAAAATTCTACACGATTTGATAGACACGATTTGATATAACGGCCAATGATCTGACGCTGTTTTATTCCGTGATTTTAGGCAACGTATTAGCAAATCTCAAATCACGTAGTAAAGGAAATAAATGCGGATTAAAAATAAAACAGGGGTGTTAAAGGAAAATTACATAATAAATTTTGCCAAGTTGTCAAAATTGGGTCTATCTCAAAAAGGGGAAAAAAAATTGGATCTACCTCATTAGAAAATGTGAACAAGGGGGTTATCCCTAATAAACCCTTAAATTAATCATAAATCCTTTGTTACCTAATATACCCAAGTTACCCTTTTTACTTCATCAGCTCTACTTTTTGAAACACGTAGTCATTCACTAATCCACTCTCCCCCTTCTCTCTCTTGCGACACTTCTCCATCAATCCACTTCAAAGCTCATCACCGTAGTTTTGATAGTAATTCGCCGGAGTTACTGCTCGAATGATTACGATCTGCTCAACCCGCCGGCGGAGCTCGAGAAGAGGAAGCACAAACTCAAGCGCCTCGTCCAATCCCCAAATTCTTTCTTCATGGTATTTATGTTCTTCCATTTTCAATTTATTTAATTATATATGATTTATTTATTTTTATTTATGTTTTATGTTTAATTCGATGTTTGTGTAATTGTTGTATTCCCAGGATGTCAAGTGTCAGGGTTGCTTCAACATGTAAAGTTTCTATCCTTTTTTTTTTTTTGTATTTCTAGTTTCACATTTAATTTTTAATTATTTGATTTCATGTATGGTTAATTGAAAGGGTAAATTACAACCTCCTGTGAGGTATGGTCAAATTACGAAACCCCACTCAGATTTGGGTAATTAGAACCACCCAACAACTATAAATCTTCTTGCACGTACCCCTATGCGGTTTTAAATTTAGTGGAATCTTCTAGATTATATGAATATTCTCAATTTTGTACCCGTTTAATCCCATTCAAGCTCCACATTTTGAAGTTAGATGATTATAAGATGTGTTTTTTGGCTTGTATATATTAGATTCTGGTGCATCAGAAAGATTTTGGTGCATCAGAAACTGTATTTTTGTACAAACTAGAGAACATTCCACGGAATTTAGATGATTATGTTGAATTTGACACCATAACTGTGGATGTGTAAGAAGGAAGATCCATAGTTGAGGGGTAGATGTAATTATCCAAACATGGGGATTTTTTCGTAATTTGACCATAACTTAGGGGTGGTTGTAATTTACCCTTATTGAAATTAGGGTTAATAGCATTTTCCCACCTAGACTTTGCCCGTTTTTGCACTTTCCCACCTCAACTAAAAAAAGTTGCACGGCGGCACCCAAACATTCATTTTTGATGCACATAACCACCTGGAGGGAATATTCCGGCGAATATTCTCATTTTCCAATGCATGCGCGATGCACATGCGAAAATACAAGGGCTTTTTCGTCTTTTTACTTGAAAATATGATAAGGGGTGAAATTGAAAGTACCAGGGACTCAATTGAACTTAACTTGAAACTTTCACAAGTTCCACCCATCATCTTCTTCGTCCTTCTTCAGCCCACCGCCGACGACGATCCGGTTCCCGGGCAACCCGATCGAGCAGGAGGCGTGCGGCGTGCCATGGGGCGTGACGCTGACGCCGTTCGCGGCCAAGGACGAGAACGACATCCCGCCGGTGTACGGCTCCGGCGGGGAGCTGTTGCCCCGATGCGAGAATTGCTGGGCCTATTACAATACCTACTGCGAGCAGGATCAGTGGTCATGGGACTGCGCTCTCTGCGGCACCACCAATGGCCTCTCGTCGGAGTCCATCATGCGATACTCTCTCCCACACTCCTCCCCGGAGAATATGTCCTCTTTCATCGACCTCGAATTGCCACGTAATTATCATATGTCAATCATTTCAATTTTTGTTTTTCCAATTAATTATTTCGATTTCGAGGAAGTGCAATTCACTAACTGAATTATCAATCTTTTGAATATAGCTTATGTGTAGTGAGTTTCTATTTGTTTTTGCCTGGGGTTAAACTGCATTGTCAGTGTCAAGAACATGAAATTATTTAAGGAATCACATTAAGAGGGAGACGAAGATGATGGGTGGAACTTGTGAAAGTTTCAAATTAAGTTCAATTGAGTCCCTGGTACTTTCAATTTCACCCCTTATAATATTTTCAAGTAAAAAGACGAAAAAGCCCTTGTATTTTCGCATGTGCATCGCGCATGCATTGAAAAATGAGAATATTCGCCGGAATATTCCCTACAGGTGGTTATGTGCGTTAAAAATGAATGTTTGGGTGCCGCCGTGCAACTTTTTTTAGTTGAGGTGGGAAAGTGCAAAAACGGGCAAAGTCTAGGTGGGAAAATGCTATTAACCCTTGAAATTATAAAAATATGATTTTTATTTTTATTTTTATTTTTAATTATATTTTATGTGTTTTGGGAATGTTCAGAACTACTGTTTTCAGCCACTCTCAGACGGTGGTTGTTTGCGGCAACTGTCAGACTGTGCTCTGCCAACCCACCGGAGGGCGTGCTAGGCTCACAGAGGGATGCTCATTTAGAAGAAAGGGTGATTAATTTTAAATCTACTTTTGATTGTATTTACATTATTAAGATAGTGAAAAAAATGATATTCTGAGAGGATTTTTTGGTTTAATGTGACTGAGTAATTGTTGTGTTGTTTTATCTAGATTTTTATGACTGGATATTCGAATTCGATTTATATTAAATCCTCCCTTTACCTCTTACGCAATACAATGTTTTCCGTTCTGCTTTTCTATTCTGGTACTGTTTCGATTGATGAAAATTGCTTGAAGTGTGAAGTGTCTTTGTGATATAGTTTGGAGTGAATAATCAAACATATGAAATTATCTCACCGAGTGAGATAATATACAACGATAAGATCGACTCTAGAGTTCGGTGTTATGAAATTTTGTGGTTTTTTTTTTCTTTTCGATTTTGGGTTCAGCTTTGACATTACGGATGAAATATACTGATACAAAATGCCCGAAATATTAAGTGTGTACTTTGTGATTTAGTTCAAGTGAAAATCGAGAGGAAGAAAGTGTTGCACGAGTGAGATATATACTGTGATAAGATTGACTCTGAAATTCGTTTTACAAATTCAATGTGGTGTGTTATGGGATTAATAGATGTTTGCAGTTTTTAACTAGTCTCTTGATTTTTACTACTTGTTTGGCCAAGTGCTGTAAATAGGGTTTTTTTTTTTTGCCGTTATCTAGGCTAAATTACAACCGCCCCTGATGTAAGATCTATTTATGAAAAGAAGTCTCTAATTTTTCCATAATTACATCCACCCCTTGCAATTTGTAGATTTCTTACATTAACACCCTTTTGTCCGGGGTGGATGTAAGAAATTTACAAACTGCATGGGTTTGGAAGTAATTTCTAAAAAATGAGTATTTTTTCTCGTAAATTGACTTCAGATGAGGGAGGTTTTGTAATTTACTCAAATCTTTTATGCATCATACAGTACAAATATATACATAAGCTCATCATTCTCTGACGTGTAATTGTGTTATCGGGATTTGCCTGAAAGGACTAATTATTTCCACACATAATATATCATGTGTGTGTAACGCGTATGTGTCATATACGGGTGTGCAATGTGTATGTATATATACACGCGTATGATAGGGTATTATCCGATCAAGTTCATTTGTAGTATACAATAAAACATTATGGGTGCATTACAAAGGTAAATGTGAACATACAAATTAAAGCTTATTTGCAAACAATAACTTCTAAATTTGATATTCTTTTGTTTGCAATCACTCGAACTTTTAGAAATAAATAATTGTTTCAAACTCTACTCATAATCGTCAACTTTTTCACTTTTACATTTTTTTTGTAACACGAATAAACTTCTATATCGAAGGGGTTTATTGCATTCAAAACCCCTATATTTCCTTTAATTATTAAAAAGTTCTTCATGGTAAAATATTAGCAGAATGCCCCTTATGACTCATTTTTGTTAGCAAACTATCCCTTAAAATTCACTATTTAGAGGATTGTGTGCTGAAGAAAATGTATTATGAAGTTTTCGCTAATGTTAATAACTTGAATTTTTTTTCTTCAGAAATTCGATACGACTAATTATACAAACACCACAAACTAAAAACTAGTCTTTCTTCTTTCTTTCGTTCCTTTTCCCCACTAGAACGGGGTCCTATTCCTACAAAAACATTATATGGGAAAGAAATATTGGATTCGAGTATTTCTCGACCAAATTTCTTGAATGGAAGCTCCATAATGAATTGTTCACCGGACCAGTTTTGTGCATAATTTGTGCCGTCAGCAGATACAAATGCAATGGTGTTTACCATTGACAAGTTCGTAAAGCTCAGGTCCAAGGAATCTTATCCCCGTGACGATAAATATAAGCATAAATTGTTTTTGAGAAATAAAAAAGAGAATGCGGTGAACGTGGATCGAACACGTGACCTTCAGATCTTCAGTCTGACGCTCTCCCAACTGAGCTATCCCCGCCTGATCTAAAAATGTTGAATATGTGATTACTGATCCTTTTACAAGTCTTGAGGGGGTTACCTATTTCTGTTCGAATTTATGATGTATTATTAAATCTTACTCTTTAAGATTTGTACACAAAATATTGTTAATTAAGAGCACCTCCAATGGCAGGTATTAAAATGAGACATCTAAACTCTTAATCAATGCTTGAAATAATACTTTGGTACTTCGAAAAAATTTATATGCTCCAACCCGTAGGAATCAAATAAATTATTTTATTTTTAAAAATGTATTAAACATAAATTAAAAGATATATTTGGTCCCTATTCCATAGGAATTTGTTAGAAGATTTATTATTTTTTACGTTGAAATTGCAGTTCCTAAAATTTCTAGGAATATTTGATACTTGGTTTTTTTTGTGCATTTTTGCACCTCTAGGAAATGAAGTATTAAAAAAAGTACCCCTTTGATGCTTCCATTGGAGACGAAATTTTGAGTTTTGGAAATCAAAATGGAAGTTTTATCATTTAATACTTCATTTGATTTCCCCATTGGAGTTGTTCTAAGAAATAAAAAATAATACTAGTTAAATATTGTTTAAATTTATATTAAAGAAAAAATATTCTTTCTTGTAGTAACTTGTAACATAGTTTTTATTTTGTTGGATTTTATAAATTCCATTAACGTAGAAAAAATCTATTTTTAAGTAGTTCTTACCTTTTTTTTTTTCGTTCTTTTTGGTCTTAAAATAAACATTTTTTTGAGTATAGTTCTTAACTTTTTATTAGTTGAAAAAAATATTCACTCTGTTCAACAATATCTGTCTCTTTTAAAAAAAAAACTGTTCCATGTTATCTGTCACTTCACAATTCCAATATTGCATCAATTACATATTTTTCAATTATACCCTTATTAACTCTCCAATACTATTTCTGTATTGATTAATAAACAATGATATTTTTGTCTATCTATATTTATTTTCCTAAAATCAAGACATATTTATTGAGATTCTTAAGACTTGTGTTAAGGTAAAAAAACGACACATATTTAGAAACCAAGAGAGTAATTAATTCAACATACCTATGATAATATGGATTATTAGGGAAAACTCCCCTTTTTGCTATTTGCCTTGGTATAGCTCCAATTTTCTTTCGCCTATTTGACATAACTCTTTAGTCTAACTCTAACATTAAATTAATGTTAATTTCACTTGGACACCCTCCAAGATACTGAAATTGCAGACTCACCTCCTCTTAGTCAAAATATTGCCCAAACCTCCCATGTTAGATGGTTTCGTTTACAATGCCTAACGAGTGTTTAAAATGTCACTTTTACCCTCTTATTAATAAAATTAAAAATAAAAAAAAAGTAGGAAAAATAAAGGGAAAATAGGCAAATAGGAAATACCTATTTGACCCTTGTACCCTAAAATGGATCAAGTTTTTGAGGAAACACATTTCCATTTTGTAATTATTGTGAGAGACATCCCCGAAACATTTAATTATTTACTGAAACAGCCACGAAACCTTTTCGACAGATGTCATGGAGCTTTGGTTTACGAAACGTTTCCGAAAGAACGCGTTTAAGTAGAAGTTTCACATGTTTCTTGGGTATTGATTAGTAGATGCAAAATGACAGTTATGCCCTTAAAAAATAGAAATATCCTTTTAAAACGGAGAATCCCGGCGAAAACAATACCAAAAAAATTTGACAGTTGGGGCGATATCAAACCGTAGTAATATTTTCAAGGGGTATAATGTATTTTTTGTATTTGTAGAGGGGGCTAGTGCAAAACTTGGAATTTATAAGGGGCTGAGCTGTTATTTGTTTTTATTATGCTGAATTAAAATAAAAGTTTTATTTATTTATTTTAATTTTAGAAAACGGAATGAGTTTAAGCACACGAAACCAGTAGAATTGGCTTTCACAGAATCTCTGAAGAAGAAAGATGAAGTTTTCTGGAAGAGCGCTGATTCGTAGAGCAATTGCTTCTTACCATTACGGCATATTTGCTGATCCCTTTTCTTTCTTCTTTTCAAATTTTCACAGTGTGGTTAAAAAAGATCGATCCTTTTCACCTAAGCCCAGAATAGATTTGAGTTGTATAAATGAATTAGACGATGCTGTTTTCTTGTTTCGTCAAATGGTGAGAATGCAGCCACAGCCTTCCGTTATTGAATTCACCAAACTATTGCAAGTTATTGTCAAGATGAAACAATACTCTGTTGCCCTTCAACTGTTCGACGAAATGCGTCAATGGGGTGCCCCTATAGATGAGTACACAATGAACATCTTAATTAATTGCTGCTGCCTTTTGAAACGCATAGAAGTTGGTTTTGCTATCTTCGGCATCTTCCTTAAACACGGTTACGAGGCAGATGTTACGACATTCAACACCCTCCTAAAAGGTCTCTTTTTAGATGGTAATGTGGCCGAGGCAGAGAAATTGTTCAAGAAGATTTTGACTTTGAAACTCTGTGAGCCAGACGATGTTACGATTCTTACTGCGATTGACGGGCTCTGCAAAGCTGGACGTGTTCATACTGCCCGTGATTTGCTTTTGTTGTTGGAAAAGACTATCTATAAACCCGATGTTAAGGCGTATAGTGCGGTAATTGATTGTTTATGCAAGTGCCGAATGGTGGATAATGCACTCGAGCTCAAGTCTAGAATGATTGATAAGGGCATTTCACCGACTGTCGTCACATATAGCTCGATGATTCAGGGCTTGTGCAATTTTGGTAGATGGAAAGAGGTGAAGGACTTACTAAATGAAATGGTCGATCACAAGATATACTTGACTGTCGCTACTTTTAATATATTGGTGGACGCATTTTGTAAGGAAGGAAATGTTAAAGAGGCTGAGGATGTTTTGAAAATTATGAAGCAACAAAATATTAGTCCCGTTATTGTCACGTACAATGCGTTAATAGATGGGTATTGTTTGCAAGGGAAAATGGATAAAGCGAAAGAAGTATTTGATTCTATAACGGGCAACGGTCTTAAGGCATGTATTATCAGCTATGGCACTTTAATAAACGGATATTGCAAGGAGGGAAAAGTTGATGAAGCTCGGCGACTTTTTCTCGAAGCTTCTTCTAAAGGTTTAGAACACACGACATTTACCTATAGCATCATGATACACGGATTATTTAGTAAAGGCAGAAATGCTGACGGATGGAAGCTTTATAAGGACATGGAAGCTCGGCACGTACCTCCAGATTTATATACTTGCAATATTTTGTTGGAAGGCTTGTGCAAGACACAGCAGATTGCTGACGCGTTTTTATTTCTACGGGCGATGGAAGACAAAGGGTTAAACCCTAATATAGTCACATACGGGATCTTGATTAATGGTTTGTGCAAAGATGGGAAACTTGTAGAGGCGAAAAATATTTTAAACGAACTTCCTTCCAAAGGATTGAAACCTAATATTAAAATATATACCGTTATTCTCGGTTCACTTTGCCGAGAAGGGTGTGTAGACGAGGCAAAAGATTTGATTGTAAACATGGAGAGAAGTGGTTGTGCACCGGATAGTGTGATGTACAACAGCATAATCCAGGGTTTGCTAAAGAAGAAAGAGGTTTACAAGGCAATCCCGTTCTTAGAGGACATGCACCAAAGGGGATTCTATGCCGACGCATCTACTTCATCCTTGTTAATTAATCACATGCAAGGATCTAACAAAGACGATATTCTTCTGGAGATGATGAAGAAAGTTGTACCGAAAATCTAAATTAATTATTTGGGCTTCTGAAATTTTTGCAGATACAACATCTGTATATGTACTTTTGACTTGTGATTTTTACGGTTGTCGCAATCCTTATATTATGGGTGGATGAGTGGCGTAGGAAAGATAACAAACCGCCGGCATTTTGACAAGAAAGAAGATAAAAATTTGGATATGTGTGCTAACGGATTCCTTTTTTCTCGATTTTGTATTGGGTATGACAAGAACTTAAATGCAGATATGTCCAAGCAAAAAATAGTTTTGCAAATAAACTCATCCCCATTCTTTTGTTCAAAATACCCCTCATAATACAATTTTCATTAATTTCATCTATTGTACTCTAACTTTATCAATATTTCACATTGACCCGGATTCGAACAAATACATCACACTACCCCCATTTTCACAATTTTTTGAAAAGATATTTTTTCTCGGCCGGTCGTCGGCGTTGACTTTTTTTTTTTTTGGAAATTCTGATTTTTGAATTAGTTTTTCTCCATAAATTACTGTGTTAACAACAAAATTACTGTCTGAGACAGTAATATTGAATGCAAAAACAATAATATGAATATTACCACATAAATATTACTAATATTTATGTGGTAATATTTCTGAGACCATAAAAAAAATATCCTTCTGTAACAAGTAAAAAAAATAGCAATTAAACACTGAGACCATAAATTTTAAACCAGCTGCAGAGCAGCACGTCCATGTGTTATATTTTTCGACGGACTCGATTCACTTGCTTCAGCTCGAGTTGCTAATCCTTAATTTTAATTTTCTTTTCTTCCTTTTAATCTTTGATTATAGGGGGGCTCAACTACCTACATTTTTTTGTCCTTGATTTAATTTTACGATGTGTGATTCATTAGGAATCGAGCATGCACTTCTGAGGGCCCCGCAGTTTTTGACCTCCTGGTGAAATCCTAAGATTTTAAGATAATAAGTTGGAGTGAAAATGAATGCAACAAATATTTGTCTCGTATCATGTACGAATTCATAAGCTCTAAAAGTCGAGTTCCAGAGCTGAGAATAATACGATATATATAAAATTACACTTATTAATATTTGATATAAAATTCCAACGTGCAAGTATTTATTCCTTGAGCGACCTATTCAATTTATGCGACAAATTTAGACGACATTAGTTGGAACGTCGAATCCATCCAAAATTACGCGGGGAATATGGGAAATCTTGGGCCACTCAGAATCTCCGTCTGGTCGCCTTGTTAGATTTAACATCGGAGGTTGGTAAATTAGTAAAAGAATTAAGTTGGTGAGACGTAGCATGGCTTCCTTAGACGGTAGACGCCGCAACTTGTTGCAGTTATTAAGACAAGTTGTTGTTGTTGTTGTTCCCAATTACCCAATCAGGCAATTCTTCAATCTCTTCGAAATCATGTAAGTATATCTCTAAAGGAGCAGTGAGATGTTGAAGCTGCTCTGGTAGATCCCGACTCTGCTTTGTCCCGTACAAGTATAATGTACAAAGAGATTTTGCTGAACCTTTCAAGATGGCATCGAAAACCGAGGAATGTGAGGACTCACCGTAACTTGTACTCGTGCTTAAAGTACCCCGCAAGCTGCAGTCACTAGACGATAACCCAATCTTCGAGGAATTGGTGGTTGGAATATCAGCAATCCTTAACTCCGAGAGACGATGCATTTTCTGCAAACACCCCGTCACCATTCCCACATCCATCCTTAAGTTGCTCAATTCAAGCAATTCCAACTTCTCGAGTGACTCCGCACATGACTCTATCATTTCACTTGGCAACTCGGTCAACCCGGGGCATTTACGAATACTCAATTCACGAAGGCAACTCAATCCTAGTAATAATAATTCTTGCTCACCATGTGATTCGTGTGGATAGGGTAACTCTCTAAAATTCGGACAATAACATATCTCCAACTTTTTTAGTAGAGAGGCGTAGCCACTCTGGAAGCAGGGCACTAGATGTGTTAAGTTGGGACAATAAATTATCTTCAACTCTGAGAGATTTTGATTTTTATGTAATAACCAATCTGGGAGACACACCAATCCGTCAATTGAATTAATTCGGAGTTTTGTAAGCGAGATTAATTTGATCCCACATATACTCGCCAAAGGTAATTCACTGTGGGCTTGAGAAATCTCCAATTCTTTTAGGCATGGAAAATGACTTGGAGCACTCTCCAATTGCATGCACATTATAATCTTCACGTACTCGAGGCGAGGAAATACCACCACAAGTTGAGATAATCGTCGATTGTCCGTTGCATTTGGCATCAACTCTGCTTCTAACCACTCTGTCAGCTTCCACATACAAACCAACTCGAGCCTTTCAAGTGCCGGAAATATAGTAATTGTATTACCTGATCTGCTACACTTGTCTATTCCGTAGAATGACGGAGCTATGGATTTCACATTCTACATACCATGTAGATAAAGATTCTTCAAATGTCGCAAGTGCCCTAGCATTGGAATTTGTTCGCATTCTTTGCAATTTCGAAGACCTATCTCCATCAAATTATTAAGCTCCGACATCATTGAACACCATGGTGGCAGATTTCTTCCTGGAAATCCACAAATGTTTAAGCTCTTTAAATTTGGGTGGGGTTGGAGGCCTTCCAAAACACTCTCATTGCCATTTTGACCGTGTCTCCACACAAGCTTTAACTTGACTACATTTTACTTCTCTAATAAATCTGCTCTTTTAGCCTCTTCTTTGTCATGCACCTTTTCAAGATTATAAATCTCCAGTTCCCCTTTTAGATTCTTCAAGCTTCCGAGTTCACCAATTCCACAACCCTTTTTATCGCTCACTCCAAAGTATAGTAGTGTTCGAAGAGAAATTAATCTCCCCATCTCCGGAGGCAATTCAATTCGAGAAGGAAGGTGGAGATGTCTCAAGTTCATCAAGTGTTTCATTGTGTTTGGCAACTTCTCCAGGTCAGCACATGCTCTTAATGTCTGCAAGTGATAGAGATCACCAATAGATTCTAGCAAACATTTGATAAATGTGTGAAAATTGTCCAGACATCTAAAATGTATTAACTCTCCAATGGAACTTGGCAACTCATCAAAAGTAAAATGACCGCCTGAATCAAAATTAAAACATGCAACGATTTGAACTTCGAGAACACGAGATCGCAGACACTATTATTGAAACGTAATGAACGAAGACAACTTGCTTGTTTTTTCAAGATAGTATGTGATTGACCATCAATCGATTCCCAACCTATGTACCGAACTTGATCGCTTGAATTTAAAATAGAGGAGGCAAGATCATGCACAAGATCGTGCATGTTATAATATATCATATTGTCGTCACCGTTTCTCTCCACAACTTGTAGCAACAAGGAGTTCTCTAAAAGGTTATGAAAGAACATGTTGCCCACAATCTCCATATCATCATTTCCTCCAAGAAATCCCTCTGCCATCCACAACTCAACCAAGCGTTCCCTTAGTAAGTCATATCCTTTAGGATATATCGAACAATATGCAAAACACTTTTTGAGTGCTGGTGACCACAAATGATCAAAACTCAGTTTTAAAATCTTGGATACTGAATTTTCATCTCTTAAATCTAAGAGCCAGTTCTCTTCAATATGGAGCCACTCATCAAGCGACTTACCAAGCAACAATCCCCCAACCATTCTAGCCGCCAATGGCAAACCTTGGCATTTTTTTGCAATAGATACCCAAATGAGCTCAAATTCTGATGGAACATTATCTTTTGGGAAGGCTTTTGCTTCGATTATGGACCAACACTGCTCTTCAGACAATTCTTTTAGTTTGTGAATAGGAAGTGTTGTCACCAGTGAAGCAATACTTTGATTTCTTGTAGTAACAACGATCCCATTTCCTTTCGCAGAACTAATTTTTCTCAGTGGATTAATAAATCACCCCATTTTTCCTTGCTGTCATTCCAAACATCGTCGAGGACAAGTAGAAATCTTCCTCATCTAGGAAAAGTAGTTAATGAAACACCTCCTCCAAAAAATAATTAGAGAAAACCCCCTCATCTAATAATGCACCTAAATGATATTTTCACAATTCCAAAATTATCCTTACTTTTCCAATACACTCTCTCTCCTCCTTTTTCATCCTCTTCTTCTCTACGTATATTTCTTCTTTCTCTCTCCTCATTTTTCCTCTTTTTTTCTCTTTCTCTCTCCTCCTTTTCCTCATATTCTTCTTTTCACAGTACACTCTCTCTCTCACTCCCTTTTCCTCACCTTCTTCTCTATTGTACTCTCCCTCTCTCTCCTCCTTTTCCTCTTCTTCATCTTTGTACAAATAGAAAAGGTCGTCACTCATATCATCAATAGCATTGAAGCCGCATACACATTAATATCTTTTTTTATTTTTATTTTTTCTTGCAATAAATCGCGTAACAAATTAAGAGAGAAAAACACAACACCCAATTTGTTTTGAGATTAATTTATGCAAATACATCATTATTGTGAGTAGATCTATCAGAATTTTCTGTTGATTTTGACAAGGTTATAGTTTATTGGGAACAAAGTATAAATTTCCAGATTCTTCATCTTCTCTCTTCTTTGTGTTTTCTTTTCTCTCTTTTCTGCTTGTTATATTTTAATGGAGTTTTTCAGTAAAGTCGTTAATGGAGGATTTCAGTTCTTGAAACTGGGAGATCGAACTCCCACTATGGTTGACAAAGAGTGGTGTGGCGGCAGTGTGGTGACGATGTGGGGGTAGATTTAGGGTTTTTTGTTGGATCGGGCAGATAATGGCGCGGGTAGAGAAATTCGCGCAGGCGGAAACCTTAATCGACTATGTACTTCTTCAATAGTCGATTAAGTTAATCGACTATGCTCTGGTAGTCGATTAAGGTCAATCAACTCCCATTTTTATTTTATTTTTGAATTTTTCATTTATTGATTTCAATTGTATAAATCAATTAAAATGTTTATATATATTTTGTATTTTGTAAAATATTGTTGATTTTTGCATTTTTTTTTGCAATTGTGATTTGTTATGTTTAGTAGCAGATTCTTAATCGACTATGCTTCATCATAGTCGATTAATATACCTGATATAGAAAAGAAAAAAAATTAAAAATTAAAGAATTTCCTTAATCGACTATGAAGCATAGTCGATTAAAGGCTAATCGACTCGATTAAGGCTAATCGACTATGCTTCATAGTCGATTAAGGAAACTGATACAGAAAAGACGGAAAAAAAAATGAAAAAAAAAAAACGCTGAACGCATGACACATTGAAGATGTGGCGGGTGGGGGCAAAGATGAAAAACATAATGGCTGAAAATGGGTGTGAACTTTTCTCAAATGGACATAAATATTTTGGGCATCTCTCTATTAAAAGAAGTAATGAGGGGGTTTCCTCAAAGAGCCCCTAAAATTATAGTCAATGATTTGAAAAGATTCCATCCATAACGTTTCCTCACACCTACTACAAAGACATCTTACTAACTTGCTATTTTTTTTTAGCTATGTAGATTAGTACTGCGTTTATTTTAGAACCAAATGTATGCAGACATTAAGGGAAAATACAGTTTTCATCCCTCATTTTTTCTCCAATTTCACAGTTGGTCCTCCATGTTCACAAAAAATACATTTGGTCCCTCGTGTTTTAAAAATTCAACAGTTTTAGTCATTTCCTTCAAATTTTCGTTAAAACTAACGAAATCAAATGTGTTTCCATCACTACCATAACTGACAGACTAACGATAAATTGACGGAAATGACCAAAAATGTCAAATTATTGAAACATGAGGACCAAATGTGTAATCGTCTCAATATTGAGGGGAGAAAACGGTAAATTTCCGCGACATTAATTATATATAATATGCGTGCTTTTTAATTAGAGATTATTGTTTCCCAAAATGCTTTTGCTTGTGCGTGTTCTTTTAAATAAATAATTAAATAATAATAATAATAATAATAATAATAATAATAATAATAATAATAATAATAATAATAATAATAATAATCATAATATTAATAATCATAATAATAATAATAATAATAATAATAATAATAATAATATTAATAATAATAATAATAATAATAATAATAATAATAATAATAATAATAATAATAATAATAATAATAATAATAATAATAATAATAATAATAACAATAATAACAATAATAATAATAACAATAATAATAATAACAATAATAATAATAACAATAATAACAATAATAATAATAATAACAATTATAATAATAATAAGAATAATCTTTATATATAAAAGAAAGGTTTAATAATAATAATACTAATAATAAGACTGAAAGAAAGAAAAAGGAAAATCCCACGATATTGAAACCGCACATTCCATTCCCAGTCTTCCCCCATGTTCGGCATACTTGGGAAGTTATAATTTCGTGTGTCAGTGCAGCAGTTCTTTTTTCCCAAACTCGATGGTGGGTTTTTTTTCTTCTTTTCCATTTTCTTGCCCTGTCCGATTTCATTATATGTTGAAAGCCTTTTTGCTCCCACGCACTTTTTGTAAACCGTCTGTAAACCGTCGAGTTCGTGGGTCAACAACTCCACACCACCTTATTTCTTAACCTCTCAAACAACTAACTCCTATAAATAGGTGTCTGTTTGTTGTTGTCACTTTTCTTCCCTTTTTAGTTATCTTTACGCAGACGGTCGTTTTTGCAAGATGTAGCGAGGGTGGAGGCCTCGCCTGGCCGCCGCTCAGAGTTGTCCATATTGAAGGATTGATACGCTTTATAATGAAGAATCTGCAATTCTAATTGTTTTCGAAACCTATTAATTATTCTCTTATGGTTCATCCGGATGGAACATCTGATACCTTTTGAGTTTTGAGCATACTGAGTTCTAGCATGAAAATTCATTAGTAATGGAATTCTAAGCAAAAATTATCTGATGATTCCCATTTTGAATGTATTGTTTGTATTTCTATATTAAATTTGTAGATGGAAGTAACTTGGTGATTGAGCACATTTTTATGGAGCAACGACCTTTAACTGTTCAGGTAATTAAGGAGTTTTCATGTTAACTTTTTTGATCTCAAGTGCCATGCATGTTAAATTCTTTGGAGCATTTTACTTATGTTCTTTCAAAGATTGATGCATTTTGTTGCTCATCATGCATACAGAGCTGTTGCCAGAAATGATATAAGGTAACTTCTTCTTTGAAAAGAAGAAGAGAATTTTTCTAATTAATAATCCCGCAAAAATTAAACATGGTTGAGGTCTGTTTGTCCAAGGAATGAAGAATTTGAAGGTGGATATATATATATTTATACCATATATATATATATATATATATATATATATATATATATATATATATGTGTGTGTGTGTGTGTGTGTGTGTGTGTGTGTGTGTTCAAATTGAAAATAACATAAAAACATTATTTTATGATCGTTTACAGGGCTTTGTTGGGATGCTGAATATCAAAGTTCAAACCATAGTCGTTCAAATTATCAACTGATATTATTTTTTGGTCTTTTTTTTATGTTTTTTCCCCCATAAATCTTCATCTGCAGTACACTTAGAGTTTTATTCTTTTGCAAAGGATATGGCGAATTGTTGGGAATATTTTTTTTCGGGTTTTAATATATCTCTTCCATCTTCTCCAGTTATTCAATATTTTTTTTTGATTAGCAAGGCAGGTCTTTAATGTTTTTCATGTTTTTTTTTTTTTATGTTTTTCCTTTGTTCTTTTCCGAATAGAATAAATTTGGCAGCAACATGCTTATCAGATTTTTTTCTAAAATTTAGTTTAATTATTTAATACAATAATATTTTTTTCATAGAATAAAAATAAAAATATTTGTTTTATTATTCAGTAAATTAATAGTAATTTAGATAAATTTGTATATAAATATATGATATTTTTATAACTAACTATTCTTTTTTTTTTTTAGGGAAATAACTATCTATTCAAGAAGTAGTTAAAGATAATAGTTAGCTAAAATTTGAAGAGTTCTATTGTAGGGACCAAGTAGAAGTGAGTAGCTAAAACATTGTGCATTAGCTGAAATTAAATTTTTGAGCTAAATTTTATGCATCAAGAGTCTTGCTGTATAGGCTCTTAATTAAGAACAATGCAGACTCCATTCTATCATTTTAAATGTCCCATTCGTCTATTTGGTATGAATTTTTAAATAGGCCAAGTATCATTAATAGTCCCTCATCTTATTATTTAGTTCCGCTTTAGTCACTTATTTTTCTATTTTGTCTCATTTTCTTCTCTCAACTCTATAATGCATTTAATTGTAATCCTTTTGTGTATAATTTGGTTAACTTTAATGGAATCTTTTATTTAATGGATGAAATATTCTACTCTTATTATTGTTTTTAATAAACTATAAACAAAATAAGAACATGCATAATCGAATTAATTACTTCTTTATATATATATATATATATATATTGTGGCATTGTATATCAGCATCAGCATGTATGTATAGTAATAGGAAAAGTCGGGAAGAAGCCATGCAGGTCGGATGCCACGTTATGGATAAGTTCCTAAGTTTAGTGGAAATAATCTTTTCACTTGATTGCCATTTATGTTGCGCGGACTTGCATAATATGGAGGCTCCATGAATTGCACAAGTTTTTGTATGACTCCACAGTTTTGGTGATTGAATATTTAAAAAACGCAAATCATGTTAAGGACTGGGATTGC